TCTCAAATGTATTTACTGATCTGATGATAGTACAATTTTATATTTTGGTATTATTCTCTATTTAAGAATCATGGTGGCCCTGGCCGGTTTGGTTCAGCGGTTAGAGCGTCCACCTGTGGTCCAGAGAGACCTGGGTTTGGTTCCTGCTAAGGGGATGTACCTCAGTTGCAGTTTGTCACTGGCCCTGGTTGGGTCGTGTGAGTGGCAACCACTCGATGTGTTCCTTTCATGTCGATGTTTCTCTTTCTCTCTCCCCCTCCCACTCTATGTGAACAAAAAATGGAAAAATGTCCTCGGGTAAGGATAAAAAAAAAAAAGAACCTCGGAGTTGGAAGGTAATTTAGAAGTTACAGAATTCTACATTCTACCTAGTGTCAGAATCCATCTATAACAATTAACAATTTAATTTATTCCATACTTTTCTCAGTACTGGGAATATAGTAGTTAAAAAAAAAAGCAAAGTTCCTGTCTTCATGGAGCTTACATTCCAGTGGGTGAGAAAGTTAATAAATAAAAATATGTTTGAAGTGATAGATACCATGATTCTTAAATAGACAGATCTAATGAAGGAAGAAAAAGAGCATAGAAAAATCATAGTGCCAGAAGGGTGGGGATGAAGGTCACAATTTTAAATATAGTAATCAGGGAAGGTCTCATGGTAATGTGAGCAAAGACTTGAGGAGGTGAGGGAATAAGCATGAGAATATCTAGGGAAAAAGAATTCTAGCATGGAAATAGCTATGACAAAGGCCCCAAGGTGGGAGCCTTTGTAGCTGACACTGAGCTAGAAAGGGGAAAGATGAGTCAGACAAGTAAGAAAAGCCACAAGGTAGGGGGCCATGTAGGCCTCTGTAAGGACCTTGGCTTTTATTCTGAGATGGGATGCATATGTTTTAACAGGATCACTACAGCTGCTGTATTGAGAAGAGTCTTCAGGGAGGCAAGGTTGAAGTAAGGAGACTAGTTAGGATATTGCTACAATAATCATTGTGCAGTAGCAATGGAGATAGAAAGAAATCAGAGGCTAGAAATACTCTGAAGCTACCTTCAGACAGGATTGGCTGATGGGTCAGATGAGGGGAATGAGAGGAAAAGGAGCCAAGAATGACTCCAGTGCTTTTGGATGAACAAGTCTGTCTTTTACTGAGAAGATTGGGAGGAGGAGTTTGGGGCAGGGGTGGCTGAAGATAGGAATTTTATTTTGGACATGTTGAGGTTGAAGAGCCTTACTACCCACTGAAGTGAAGATGTCAAATAGGCAACTAGCTATAATAGACTGAGTTCCAGCCCTAGCCGGTTTGGCTCAGGGGTAGAGCGTCAGCTGGCAGACCAATGAGTCTTGGGTTCGATTCTGGTCAAGGGCATGTAACTCGGTTGCAGTTCATTCCTGGCCCTGATCCGTGTTCTGTGGGAAGCAACCAGTCGATGTGTTCCTTTCACGTAGATGTTTCTCTCTTTCTCCCTCCCTCCCACTCTATCTGAAGATAAATGGAAAAATATCCTTGGGTGAGGATTAAAAATAAAAAATAAAAGGGAGAGACTGAGTTCCAGGTTGGAGCTAACATTTTGGGATTTATCAACATGTAGGTAGGTGGTGATTAGCACCTTGAAAGTGGAGGTGGTTACCTAAACAGTGATTTAAGAGAAGAAAAGCACAGGCCTGAACTCTGGGGGCACTCCAACATTTGGAGGTTAGGAGACAAGAGAAAATATAGCAATAGATATTAAGGAGGAGTAGCCAACTAAGATGCTTCCAGGACAGCGTGATCAACTTTGTTAAATGTGCTGATAGGTCAAGTAAGATGAGCACTGAACACCGAACATGGGACTTAGCAATGTGGAATTCCTTGTGAGCCAAAATGGAGGGTTCTGTGTGACTGGGAGGAGAGGAAGTGAAGACAGAGAGTATGAAAAACTCGGTTTGGCTCAGCAGTTAGAGCATCCGCCTGCGGTCCGGAGAGACCCGGGTTCGGTTCCCGCTAAGGGCATGTACCTCGGTTGCAGTTTGTCCCCGGCCCTGCTTGGTTGTGCGGGTAGCAGCCACTCGATGTGTCCCTTTCACATCGATGTTTCCCTCTCTCTCTCTCTTCTTCTCTCTCCCTCCCACTCTATTTGTGCAAAAAATGGAAAAATGTCCTCGGGTGAGGATAAAAAAAAAACTCTCGTAAGGAATTTTGTTGTAGAGAGGATGAGGAATGGGACAGTATCTAGAGGGGAATATAGACTTGGGACAAGAGTTTTTCATCTGTTTTTAAAAGTCTAAAATTTATATACTTTTTAAAAATACTTTTTATTGATTTTTTTTTAAGAGAGAGAGGAAGGGAGAGAGAGACAGAAACATCTATATGAGAGAGAAACATTGATCGACCACCTCCTGTGGGATTGAGCCTGCAACCCAGGCATGTGCCCTGACCGGGAATAGAACTGGGACCTCTCAGTCCAGGGAACAACACTCAATCCACTGAGCCACACCAAGTGGGCACGTTTTTTGTTTTTATTATTTTATGTTTGTTTGTTTGTTTGTTTGTTTGTTTGTTTATTTATTTATTTATTTATTTATTTATTTTAATCCTCACCTGAGGATATTTTTCTATTTGTCATCAGATAGAGTAGGAGGGAGGGAGAGAGAGAGCGGGAGAGAGAGAAGCATCGATAGTGACTGGTTGCCTCCCGCACAACCTCACCGGGGCCAGGGATGAATCGCAACTACGAGGTATGTGCCCTTGACCAAAACTGAACCCATGATTCATTGGTCCACGGGCCCATACTCTGACCACTGAGCCAAAGCGGCCAGGGCTAATTTTTTCGTTTTTAAACAAGAGAAACTCCAGTATGTGTACATGCTGACAGAAACGATCTGGTAGAAAGGGGCACGTAGGAAGCAGCAGCAGAGTGAAGCTATTTGAGATGCAAGATGATTCCTACTAGCAATGAGACATCAAAATGGCTAATATTATTGTAGATTTTCATCTATGGTCATAATTAAAACAAATACCAACTTTCGGTTAGAGGTTAATGAAAATAATATGCACTTTTTTCTACCCAAGATCATGAGACCCCTGGTTTTAGGGTATGATCAGGAGAGTGAGTGGGTAAGATAGGATGAATAACAAGATTACTGGAAGGGAGGAGCGGGAACTGAGAGGCTGAGGTGCTGGAGAAATCATATACAGTCGACCCTCGCCACTTCGCGCTTCAACTTTCGCGGCTTTACTCTATCATGGTTTTTTCAAATATATTCATTAAAAAGTTGATCAAGCCCTGGCCAGTTTGGCTCAGCGATTAGAGCGTCGGCCTGCAGTCCGGAGAGACCCGGGTTCGGTTCCCGCTAAGGGCACGTACTTCGGTTGCAGTTTGTCCCCGGCCCTGGTTGGTCGTGCGGGTGGCAGCCACTCGATGTGTCCCTTCACATCGATGTTTCTCTCTCTCTCTCCCTTCCTCTCTCTCCCTCCCACTCTATCTGTACAAAAAATGGAAAAATATCCTTGGGTGAGGATAAAAACAAAAAACAAAAAACAAACAAACAAAAAAAGTTGATCAAGCCCTGGCCAGTTTGGCTCAGCGGTTAGAGCGTTGGCCTGCGGTCCAGAGAGACCCGGGTTCAGTTCCCGCTAAGGGCACGTACCTCGGTTGCAGTTTGTCCCCGGCCCTGGATGGTCGTGTGGGTGGCAGCCACTTGATGTGTCCCTTTCACATCGATGTTTCTCTCTCTCTCTCTCTCCTTCCCACTCTGTCTGAACAAAATATGGAAAAATGTCCTCGGGTGAGGATAAAAAAAAAAAAGGTTGATCGAGCCCTGGCCGGTTTGGCTCAGCAGTTAGAATGTCGGCCTGCGGTCCAGAGAAACCTGGGTTCAATTCCCGCTAAGGGCATGTACCTCGGTTGCAGTTTGTCCCCGGCCCTGGTTGGGTTATGCGGGTGGCAACCACTCGATGTGCCCCTTTCACGTCGATGTCTCTCTTTCTCTCTCCCCCTCCCACTCTATCTGAACAAAAAATGGAAAAATGTCCTCGGGTGAGGATAAAAATAAGTAAATAAGTAAATAAATAAATAAATAAATAAATAAATAAAGTTGATCGAGACAGTGAAAATGATACAGTGCACGCTCGGTTGTCTGAGTCAATTATATACCCCTGTATTACAATTAAAATTTAAATTACTGTACGTATGGACTGTAGGCCTATGTATTTGAGCACCCCAGGAATCCTTCAACGCCAGGAGCAACCGCTAGAGTCTACAACAGATTAACTGCGATAAACCAGGGATGACTGTATGTGGATAGTGAAATTTCTAAGAATTTGAAACAGTAGTCCTAAAGAATGTGAAAGTGAGCTGGGAATTAACATCCTAGCCTCTGCCTGAACAAAGGCCACCTGAACTAGGCAATTCCCAATGTATGAGGCAGCTTATAATTCTGGTCAATTACGATTATAGGAAACTTCTTCCTTACTCTGAGTTAAACTCTACCACCTAATACTTGCCAAACTGTTCCTTGTCCAGTCTTTTAGAAATATTCACAATGAAGCTAATCTCTCTAAGATAGTTCTTAATGCATCTGAAGACAGTTCCAAGTGTTTTCTTTCCCAGGAAGGACACCATCAGGTCTTTCAACCATTCCTTAGACATCATTGTTTCTAGGACTCACTATCTTGATTGCTCAGTTTGGGATACACTTGATTTGTGATATCCTTGGAATGACAGAGTTAATGGCACAATCTTCTGATTTCCCTTCTGCTGTTCAAATCACTATGGTAATAAATAAATACTTTATTTGCCAAGGTGGGTGTAGGTACGACATTGTTATTGAGCAGCAGCAAAACCTCTTATACAAGTTATACAAAGATGTTTCTCCCCCACGATCTGGATCCTTCTGCTAGCCCTAAATTCACAGTGATTAATGTTATGGAAATAGAATTACTGGCAGACAAGAACATTACAATGTTAATGTTCCTAACCTGGCAGAAAAGACTATGAATTAATGCATCAGAAGGAATACTTACAAGAATATCAGTGTTTTCAAAATAATTCCTCCAGTATGGTCTGATTTTCCTCTGTCCACCAATGTCCCATACATTCAGTTTAAAACCTTGTGATTGTACACTTTTGATGTTAAAACCCTGCAACAAGGAAAGGCAAAAACATCAAGTTTTATTACACTTTGAAATCATAATTCTGACAGTTACATTTGATAGCTATGTTATTTACTAATTCTGAGGTACTCTGCCAGATGTGACACTGGTAATACTGAAAACAGTTTGCTATAATGGGGAAGAAAGTGATATATTTATACATGATTCCTTCATTCATGTTGTGGAGTCAGTGTTGCTAATGTCATGGATAACATGATGTGCTTTCTATCATGAGCATGTGCACATACACACATGTACACACACAAACACACAAACTGCTGAGGACAACTTGATATAAGAATAGTTCTGATAATACAGACCACACCCCTGATGTGTCCTCAGGATGGTAAAATTTAATAGGACATTACATGTAACTAACAAAAAATAAACAAAAAAACACGAATCTGAATCTGAAGATTCAACAGAACAGAACAAATGCTACATTTAAAAAGAGGCAAAAGCTACAATCTAGAAGATTGGATTCTTTTTTTTTTATCCTCACCCGAGGACATTTTTCAATATTTTGTTCAGATAGAGGGAGAGGGAGAGAGAAAGAGAGAAACATCGACGTGAAAGCGACACATCAAGTGGTTGCCACCCACACGACCCAACCAGGGCCGGGGACAAACTGCAACCAAGGTACGTGCCCTTAGCGGGAACCGAACCCGGGTCTCTCCAGACCGCAGGCCGACGCTCTAATCGCTGAGCCAAACCGGCCAGGGCGAAGATTGGATTCTTTAGGAGCAGTTCAAAATTAAAGAAATTTCCTCATGTGGATTACTTAGGAAAAGGAAGGAGCTGAACTCAGGACACTATGGGAGAGGTTGGCTAATAACTGGCTTAGGAGCCCAGCGAGGAAGGTAGGGCCTGCTGGCACAGCATGTTCAAACTCTGAAGTGGAGCCCTCAATTACAGGCAGTGATCAAAACAAACAAGCAGGCATTTGAAACTGTTCTTTATTAGGTATCTCTAATGAACCTGAAAAGAAAGTATTCATTTTCAGGACAGTTACTCAAGGTGGGAACTTGGGGAAGGTGAGCAAATCAGAGGCAGGCAGAATTGTGAGCTGGGAGCTAGTGTGCAGAGAAACAAATTAACAAGAACTCTGGGGTTTGGAGAGAAGGCATTTTATGAGCAAGAATAAAAAAAAATCTTCTTGCAAAAATGATATGGGGAAATCAGGATTTGAAAAATCTAACCGACAGCATGTTACCACAGAAGTGACATTTCATCCAGAATAACAGGAGTTAAGTGCATCTAGGATGCCTCCATACATGGTTGCCTCATCTGGCAGCTTGTCAACACTACCGCCTAGCACAGAAAGACAAGGCACAGTGCAGTAGCACAGAAACACTACCACCCAATTTCCCCTGAGGATAAATAGTCACCAGAGAATAACGGGATGATGCTGATTGCAGCTTCTCTAAAATGCCAACGACTGAATAAATGAGAAGTTTAAGAACTCTACAGGGAAGTGGCTTAAGCTTATTGTAAAAGACTGTTTCATTCTGACTCATTGACAAAACCACTTTTGTGAGCTTAAAAATTCTATACATAACTACATTATTAAATGTCAAACCCAGTAATATCAAATCCTTCTAAAATGAAGCAGGGAATAAATAAGAGTAAATCCTGGAATTCAACCATTTGTATCAGCTGCCTTAAAATTCTATTAAGTCATCAGACCCAATACATCTAACTAAGAAATCATTCTAAAGAGATAATGAGTGGTCATAAACATTTAGAGATGTGTATTGCATTAGTATTTATAACAACATAGAAAATGTTCATTATTAAGTGAAAAAGATGATACAAAACAGCACATTCTCTTTTAAAAAACATTTTTTTTTCTGTATTGATTTTAGAGAGAGGGAGAGAGACAGACAGAAACATCGATAAGAGAGAACATTGACTGGCCGCCTCCTGCATGCCCCTCACTGGGGATCTGGCCCTCAACCTGGGCATGTGCCCTGACTGGGAATCAAACCCGTGACCTCTTGATACATGGGTTGACGCTCAACCAGTGAGCCACACCGTCTAGGCAAAACAGCATATTCTCCATAAGACTTTTTAATTTATTTTAAATATACCTATCATATATATGCATAGAAAAGAAACTGAATGGATATATCACTAAATATTAACAGTGGTCATGTATAAATGGACATTATAGGTGATTTTTAGTGTCTCAATTTTACTTACATATGCTTTCTAAATTTACTATAATGAGCATCTATTACTTTTTTAAATATAAAAACAGAAACACAATAAAAGTTTGTTTTTAGCCCTGGCCGGTTTGGCTCAATGGTTACAGCATTGGCCCACAGACCAGAGTCTCCTGGGTTCGGTTTCTGCTAAGGGCACATACGTCGGTTGCAATTTGTCCTCAGCCTGGTTGGAGTCGTGTGGGTGGAAACCACTCAAGGTGTCTCTCTCACATCGATGTTTCTCTCTCTCTGTTCCTCCCTTTCTCCCTCCTGCTCTATCTGAATATAAATGCAAAAAGGTCCTCGGGTAAGTATAAAAAAAAAAAAAGTTTGTTTTTAAACAATAAATATGAAAACTTGACATAATATATGGTGGGGCAAAAGTAGGTTTACAGCTGTATGTGAAAGAGTTTATTCTTGTGCTGTTTATGAATTATTGTAATATTTTCCATACAAACAACTGTAAACCCACTTTTGCCCTACCCTGTATAATAACAGAGTCACCTAAACACATCAAACAAAGCCTGAAAGTTAGAATTGGAACTCTGAATCCATAACTGTGACCATGGAAGCCGTATTTTAGTGGTGCTCTTGAGAGACAGAGCTTATCACGAATCAAAAAACAAAAACAAAATTTAGCCTTTCTTCTGACAGAAATCCTCACACACTAATATGTGTTTTCAACCCTTCTAGGCTCTACTACTGTAGTGTATTTCCCTTATACTATACATTAAATTTGTTCAGAAGCTATAAAATTGCTCATTTGGTAACAGTTGAAAAATTTTTCTGCAAAGTGTTTTCAATTAGTAAGACTCATAGGCCATGAAGTACACACACCAGTACGGCTATTCAAACCTGACACCAAGCTCTTGGCACAGTATGGTGACAGAAAATGATAAATAACCCTGGTTTTGCTAAAACCTCTAATGTTCAAACATTTTAAAGTGACTAAGACCAACAGGACTGTCCCTAGTTAGGAAACACAAAGGCATGGCCAAATGTCAAGCTTTCTCTGAATGTCCAATAGGAAAGAAGGTCTAAAAAAGCAGACGAGAGTTCTACCAACCAGGACTTGTCTTTGAACTTCCATACAGTGAGCACCACCACTGCCTTATTTTTTGTGTTTTGCTTGCTTAGCCTCAGGAAAGAAAAAGGTTAATGAGGCTGTATTAAAATTATAGGTAACTATGTTACTGTTTTATCCTTTATTGATTTTTAGAGAGAGAGGAAATAAGAGGGAGAGATAAAAACATCGATGAGAGAGAACATCGATTGGCCGCCTCCTGCACATCCACACTGGGGATTTGGCCCACAACCCAGGCATGTGTCCTGACCGGGAATCGAACCGGTGACCTCTTGGTGTGTGGGTTGATACTCAACCACTGTGTCACACTGGCCAGACAGTAACTTTTTTTTTTAATCCTCACCCGAGGACATTTTTCCATTTTTGTTCAGATAGAGGGAGAGAGGGGGAGAGAGAGAGAGAGACAGAGAAACATCGATGCGAAAGGGACACATCGAGTGGCTGACTCCCGCACAACCCCAACCAGGGCCAGGGACAAACTGCAACCGAGGTACGTGCCCTTAGTGGGAACCAAATCCGAGTTTCTCTGGACTGCGGGCTGACGCTCTAACCGCTGAGTCAAACTGGCCAGGGCCCAGAGGGTAACTTTTATTTTAAAAATTTATATATATTTGTATTTATTAAGTCTAAAAACTATGCACAAAATATTAACAGTGGCTTTTCTCAAAGTACTCTTTGGTTTTCTGCTTTATTTCTCTGTATTTTCTACATAACTTAATTTTATAATCAGAGAAGATAAAGCTATTTTTAAAAATAAATCATTTAGCCCTGGATCAGTGGTTGGAGCGTCAGCCTGCAGTCCAGAGAGACCTGGGTTCGGTTCCTGCTAAGGAGGTGTACCTCGGTTGCAGTTTGTCCCTGGCCCTGGTTGATCGTGCAGGTGGCAGCCACTTGATGTGTCTCTTTCACATTGATATTTCTCTCTCTCTCTCTCCCTCCCATTCTGCCTGATCAAAAAATGGAAAAATGTCCTCGGGTGAGGATAAAAAAATAAAAATAAAAATAAATCATTTAGCCCTGGCCAGTTTGGCTCAGCAGTTAGAGCGCCGACCTGTGGTCCAGAGAGACCTGGGTTCGGTTCCCACTAAGGGCACATACTTCGGCTGCAGTTTGTCCCACTCAATCTGAACAAAAAAATGGAAAAAAGTCCTCGGGTGAGGATAAAAAATAAAAAAAATCATCTAGCCCTGGCTAGTTTGGCTTCGCGGTTAGAGCGTCAGCCAGAGAACCAAAGAGTTTGGTTCTGGTCAAGGGCATGCACCTCAGTTATAGTTTGGTCCCTGGCCCTGGTCAGAGTCACGTGGGAGGCAACCAATTAATGTGTCTCTCTCACATCGATGTTTCTCTCTCTCTCTCTCTCTCTCTCTCTCTCTCTCCCCCCCCTCCCTCACACTCCATCTGAAGATAAATGAAAATAATAAAAAATAAATCATTTAGCCCTGGACAGTTTTGCTCAGCAGTTAGAGCGTCGACCCACAGTCTGAGGGGTCTCAGGTTCTATTCCCCCTCAAGGGCACATGCTTGGGTTGCAGGTTCGATCCCCAGTCCGATCAGGTCATGCAGGAGGAAACCAGTTGATGTGTCTCTCTCACATCTATGTTTTTTTTTTTCTCTCTCTCTCCCTCCTTTCCTCCCTCCCACTCTATCTAAAAATCAATGGAAAAATATCCTCGGGTGAGGATTAACAACAACAAAAAAGGAATCACTTAGATCCGAGGGAAATGATTGTGTTTTGACATATATACACATATATATTTATTTGAATTATTTATTTAAAAATTATAAGATATACATACAATAAAATATATGAGGATTTTTTTTTTAAAAATCCTCACCCAAGGACATTTTCCCATTTATTTTCAGAGTTGGGAGGGAGAGGGGGAGAGAGAAAGAGAAACATGGATGTAAGAGAGACACATCGATTGGCTGCCTCCTGCACAACCCCGACCAGGGCCGGGGACTGAACCACAACCGAGGTACATGCCAATGACTAGAACTGAACCCGAGACTCCTTGGTCTGAGGGTTGAAGCTCTAACCACTGAGAAAACCAGCCAGGGCCCATTTTAACCATTTTTAAGTGTAGTTCACTGGCATTAAATACATTTGCATTGTAGTGTAACCATCACCATCATCCATCCGCAGAACTTTCATCTTGCAACACTGACTCTCTGTACCCATTAAATAATTTCCGATACCCCCCACTTCTGCCTCTGATAACCATTATTCTACTTTCTGTCTCTGTGCATTTGACCACTCTAAGTATCTCATATAAATGGAAATCTCTTGATATATTTTTGAAATCTTCAGATTATTTTTATACAGTATAGACTTTTCTCAGTAACAAAACTTAGAAGTGGACAAAACTGTATTTACCATTTTATTTTTCATATTGCTATTATCATCTTCCATGTGTCCCACAAGCATCTGGGGCCAACACAGTGCTCACCTGTGTAGGTGTGATGTGGCTGATGTCTTCAGACGCAAGCTGCTTCAGAAGGGTAGTCTTGCCAGCATTATCCAAGCCCAGAAGAAGGAGCCTCACCTCCTGGTCTGGTGCACTTTTCAATTTACGCAAAATTGAGAGTAAGCCCTTGAACAACCATAAAAAAGATTACTTTTGGGGCACTAACTTTGATATTATTGAACATCAGAGTATCTTCTTCTCATTGAAAAAATTTCTTGGTTGTGGAGAGCTTAGTTATTCTTTTCCACTTTAATGTCATTTATTTCATTTGCTTTCCCTTTCTAAGTTTTGGCAGGAGTGTGTCAGAAAATTCAGCAACTTAATAAATAGCATGGCTTATTCCTGCTCCTCCTATTAATCCAGTTTAGCAATCACCCCAAATCTACCGGGAGTATGAGCTACTACCCAACACGTGTTCTCAAAGCCCTTTATATAAACTCAAGAGTATAGCACTCATCTTATCAGACTATAGGTAATTGACTTTTTTTTTTTTTTTTCTCCTTTACTAAAGTGAACTCTCTTGCTGATGACTACAGGTTTTGTTTCTTACATGCCTGGTATTTATTAGATAGATACTAGATAATAGTTGTTGAGCCCTGGTCGGTTTGGCTCAGCGGTTGGAGCGTCGGCCTGTGGACCAGAGAGTCCCTGGGTTCGGTTCCCGCTAGGGGCATGTACCAAAAAAAAAAAAAAAAAAAGTAGTTGTTGAATTAAATAGAATGTTTCACCCAAGTTAATGTAAGATTTAAAGGTGCTATACAAAGAAATATAACACGGAAGTTAGGGAATTTAAAAGTCATTCATAAAGAGAAAAAAAATTAAAATTTAACCATGGTATTTTTGACTAGTAACTTATATTTCTGTTTCTTGTTTTTATTTGTTTTTTTATTTTGTTAATCCTCACTGAGGATATTTTTCCATTGATTTTTAGATAGAGTAGAGGTGGGGGTGGAGAGAAAAACATTGATGTGAGAGAGAGACATCAATTGGTTGCCTCTCATACCATCCTGACCAGGACCAGGGATCAAACTTGCAACCGAGGAACGTGTCCTTGACTGGAATTGAACCCTCAACTCTATGGTTCTCAGGCTGATGCTCTAACTGCTGAGCCAAACCAGCCAGGGTTCTTGTTCTTGTTCTTATTTTTTTTATGGTAAATCATGTTGCTTTTTATATAAGAACATAAGAAAAATCTTATCCAATAGTTACTTGTTCTGTCCGGCAGCTGACAATCTTGTTCCAATAATGCATGGTTAAAATAAGAATCAAAGAATCCCAGATTTTATTTTTTATTAAATTTTTTTAAAAATCTTCACCTGAGAATATTTTTCCACTGATTTTCAGATAGAGTGGGAGGGGTGGGGTGAGGTGGTGGCAGGGGAGAAAGACAGAAACATCAGTGTGAGAGAGATGCATGGATTGGTTGTTTCCTGCATGACCCTGACTAGGGCCGGGGATCAAACCCACAACCGAAGTATGTGCTCTTGATCAGAATAGAACCCGAGACACTTCGATCCTTTGGCCGACACTCTCGCCGCTGAGCCAAATGCCAAGGCAAAGAATCCCAGATTTTATAGGGCATTTAATCTAATCTTTCAGCTCCAGCAGAAATTCCTTCAAACTGAGTCTTCTAATTATATTAAATGGTTATATTTTTTATCTGCATTGCACCAGGCAATAATTCAAACCAGTTTGTTCACTCAGATCAAATAATAATTCTGAGAAATAATTCTCAACAACTGAATCTTTGGACAATGATATGCAAATATGCATAATTATTAAGAATTCCTTTCTCCCAGAGACTCTTTGTTTACCACTTCAAGTACTGTATTTGCACTGACTTGCAAAGAACCACATTAACCTCTCTATGCCTCAATTTTTTCCAGCAATAAAATGAAAGGTTTGGTTAAAGACAGAAAGACAAATTCTATACCAAAAGATTTGGGAAAGAGAGGCTGACTAGATCTGAAACTAACAAACAAAAAAAGATAGGCATGACATTTCTTTTGTTTTCATCTCTTTTGGCCTCAAATACTTTGATACCACTCCTTTTTGAAACTGTACTTATGAGAAGTCTCCCTGGCTTCTGTTAGCCACATTGCAATCACTCATTTATAATACCCCCTTTCAGAACAGTTAAAATTAGAATTCTGAGATCCTCAGGGGACTGGTGATATAAAAAAGCTAAGAACAGGGAAAACACATTGTACTACTCCTGAGTTCCTGATTAGAGGTTCTCATTACCTTTCCAATAAAATTCTAAAACAACTGGAACTTATCCCATTAAAACATTTAAAAAATATATTTTTTCTTTACTAAGTTTAGAGAGAAGGAAGGGAGAGGGAGAGAGAGACAGAAACATCTATGAGAGAGAACATTGATTGGCCACCTCCTGCACACTCCCCACTGGGGATTGGGCCCACAACCTGGGCATGTGCTTTAATTGGGAATCAAACTGGTGACTTCTTGGTGTATGGGTCGACACTAAACCACTGAGCCACACCAACCGGGCCATCCCATTAGTACATTAAAAAACAGTACAGGTTCGCCCTGGCCGGTTTGGCTCAGCGGTTAGAGCGTCCACCTGCGGTCCAGAGAGACCCGGGTTCGGTTTCCGCTTAGGGCATGTACCTCGGTTGCAGTTTGTCCCCGGCCCTGCTTGGTCGTGCGGGTGGCAGCCACTCGATGTGTCCCTTTCACATCGATGTTTCCCTCTCTCTCTCTTCCTCTCTCTCCCTCCCACTCTGTCTGTACAAAAAATGGAAAAATGTCCTCGGATGAGGATTAAAAAAACTTAAATTAAATTAAATTAAAAAAACAAAACAAAACAAAAAAAAACAGTACAGGTTCAGTTCTTCACATGCATTATCTACGACTGAAGAAATTATGAAAGAAGGTCTGTTTTCTACAAAATAGTTTCAAGGTCCAAAATGAATGTTTTAGGCTTTTCCTCATGTGTCTCTTCTTTGGAAAAATTAGTACTTAAAAATGCTGCATTCTGCAGGCTGAGACTTTTTACATATTCATTCTATTTGAAATTGAATAATTAAAAGAAAAATATAATTTCGACTCACCTTAAAAGGAGAGAAGCAAAGCACTGATGAGAAAGAAACCACTCTAACTAGAGCTAAACTTTATTAACCTAATGGTATAAAAAAAACAAGACTTTTACATATCTAGCCCTGGCGGGTTTGGCTCAGCAGTTAGAGCATTGGCCGGTCTGGAGAGACCCAGGTTCAGTTCCTGCTAAGGGCATGTACTTCAGTAGCAGTTTGTCCCCGGCCCTGGTTGGGTCCTGTGAGTGGCAACCACTAGATGTGTCCCTTTCACGTCGGACATGTCGATGTTTCTCTCTCTGTCTCTTCCTCTCTCTCCCTCCCACTCTATCTGAACAAAAAACAAAAAAATGTCCTCGGGTGAGGATAAAAAAATAAATAAAATAAAATAAAATAAATAAATAAGACTTTTACATTTCTGTTTTTGTTTTTTGTTTTTAATCTTCGCCCGAGGACATTTTTCCATTTTTTGTTCAGATAGAGTGGGAGGGAGAGGAAGAGAGAGAGAAACATTGACGTGAAAGGGACACATCGAGTGGCTGCCTCCCACACAACCCAACCAGGGCCGGGGACAAACTGCAACTGAGGTACATGCCCTTAGCGGGAACTGAACCCGGGTCTCTCTGGACCGCAGGCCGACGCTCTAACCGCTGAGCCAAACAGGCCAGGGCAGACTTTTACATTTCTAATAGGTTATCCTCCTCATCGGCAAACGATGTCACATGCTTCACTTTTAAGTGAAATTACAGAGAAATGGAAAGTTCAGCTAATATTTTCTTCCGGAAAAATGATAAATGGCATCTCAAGCATGGTCTAGGGAAGACAAATGCAAATGAAATACAGCATCATGTTAACCCAACTGCTGAGGACAGATCACAGGATTATCAGGGTTTGCTAAATAGGGAAGAGGATATTTATAGAGTTCTGCCTGAAAGGTACAGAGTAAGCTGATTTAAGAGGCTAGAGGAAACAGAGCAGAATAAATCTATTCTATGCTTCTATCCATATATGTCCATACTTTATTTTAAATGTCAAATGAAGGAAGGCAGACATTAGAAGTTAATTTTATTATGGAGCTAAGTTTTGTAGTATAAATACAAGGGAATGGATTTTTAAGGTGTATTTTTGGTCAAAATATTCATTCATTCATTCATCCATCATTAAATACTCATAATGTGCTCAAGTACAATAGTGAGCAAAACAGACATGATCTCTATGTAGGATTTTTACTACTACCTATGCCATTAAATAAAGGCAATTTAAGAAGAAAGAACTTTAGTTAACTGTAGATTGTGTTATACCACACATGTATACAAGTTATATGTACTCTGGTGGACAAAAGTGGTCTGACTCAGCCACAAATGTTTAAACAAACTTTTCTACAGCAAATCATGAAGAGACGTGCTGCTACATTTTCCCTGCCTCAAAATCAACTTAAACTCAACTACTGGCAGTCATGGCCCACTGACCTAAAATGATACAAACTAGGTCATTCACAGAAACAGGCCTGGTAGAGAGGGAAAGAGGAATGTGTTGTAATATGGAAAATATATGTGGCTAAAAGGAGCGGCTTAAATTTAAATATTCAAATTAGTAAGCTAATTGACAAGTATATGCACTCCCCATAACTAACTTAAATGGAACTGACTTCAATTTATTTTACCTCTTTAATCTAAAAAAAAACTGGTAGTGCCCAGCAAGACCTTACTAATTTCCAGGAATTCCTATAGCCTTAATAGGGAGAACTTCACCCAAACTTCTGTCTTCTTTCTCCTCATCTCTCTACTAAATAAATACCATGTTTCTTGAGGAACAAAATATGGGCATCTCTTCAGAAAGATTGTGGGTTCCCACTTCACCAGAGTCCTAATGAAAACAACATTGTGGCCTTGGCTGGTTTGGCTCAGTTGTTAGAGCATCGGCCCTTGGAGCAAAGAGTCGCGGGTTTGATTCCAGTCAAGGGCATGTACTTGGGTTGCAGTTTGGTCCCAGGCCCTGCTCAGAGCCATGTGGGAGGCAACCAGTCTGTGTGTCTCTCTCACATGGATGTTTCTCTCTCTTTCTCCCTCCCACTCTATCTGAAGATAAATGGAAAAATATCCTCAGGTGAGCATTCAAAAAAGAAAAAAAACATTACGGGCTTTCGAGTTTCATAGATTTGTATTTAACTTCCCTATGTGTGTAACTCCAGCCACAGTTAGGTCTAGAAAATGGGAACAATACTTTTTTTTTTTTTTTATCCTCACCCGAGGATATTTTTCCATTTTTTGTACAGATAGAGTGGGAGGGAGTGAGAGAGAGAAACATCGACGTGAAGGGACACATCAAGTGGCTGCCAGCCGCACGACCAACCAGGGCCGGGGACAAACTGCAACCGAAGTACGTGCCCTTAGCGGGAACCGAACCCGGGTCTCTCAGGACCGCAGGCCGACGCTCTAACCGCTGAGCCAAACTGGCCAGGGCCGGGAACAATACTTATATCTCAAGAAAAATGTTAGGGCCTTGGCTGGTGTGGGTCAGTTGGTTGAAAGTCATTCCTTGCATCAAAAGGTCACCAGTTCAATTCCCAGTTATGGCACATACCCAGGTTTCGGGTTCGATCCCCGGTTGCGACACTGATTGATGGTTCTCTCTTACACTGATGTTTCTCTCTCTCTAAAATCAATAAAAACATATTAAAAAAAAATGTTAGGAAGAGTAATAAGGTAATGTGGCCTGGCCAGTGTAGCTCAGTGGATTGAGCATCAGCCCATGCATCAAGAGGTCACTGTTTTTTTTTTAATCCTCACCCGAGGATGTTTTTCTATTTATCTTCAGATAAGAGTGGGAAGGAGAGGGAGAGAAACATGGATGTGAGAGAGACACATTAACTGGTTGCCTCCGGCATGACTGGGACCAGGGCCGGGACGAACTGCTATAGATACGTGCCCTTGACCGGAATGAAACCCGAGACTCATTGGTCCGTGGTCTGACACTCTATGGCTAAGCCAAACTGGCCAGGGCAAGAGGTCACTGGTTTAATTCCTGGTCAGGTACGTGCCTCATGGGGGCTTGATCCCCAGTGAGGGGTGTGCGGGAAGCAGCTATCTCTCTCTCTGAAAAATAAATAAAACATACTAAAAAAAAAAATTATATATATATACACACACACACACACACACACACACATACTCTCTCTCTCCTGCACTACCCAACCAGGGCCGGGGACAAACTGCAACCGAAGTACGTGCCCTTAGGGGGAACCAAATCTTGGGTAGTAGAGAGAGAGAAACATCCATGTGAGAGAGACACACAGACTAATATATATATATATATATTAGTAATGTGTGTAAAGCATGGCACATAGTAGGCCCTCAAAACAGTTGTGTTTGTTTATTTTTACTTTTCACTGACCATTTCTGACCAGAAAACAATCTTGGTAACCATCTTCAAATGTTGAATATACTTAATAACTACCACTAGGTTCATACATGTAGAAAGTAGTTCATAAGTAATTTCTGAATGAAGGCATCATCTATTAAATAATAATAATTACGTATGCCCTGCCCTGGCCGGTTTGGCTTAGCGGTTAGAGCACTGGCCCTTAGACCAAAGAGTCTCGGGTTTGATTCTAGTCAAGGGCACATACTTGGTTGTGGTTCGGTCCTTAGTCCTGGTCAGGGTTGTGTGGGAGGCAACCAACTGATGTGTCTCTCTCACATTAATGTTTCTCTCTCTCTCCCTCTCACTCTGTCTGAAAATAAATGGAAAAATATCCTTGGGTGAGGATTTTAAAATAATAATAATAATTATTAGGTATGTCCTAAAATTACTGCCATTTTATTATTTCACCAAGGACTTAGAATCGTAAGTCAGTGGTAAAATAGCTGACCCTAAATGTTCAGAAAAACCCCAATGGGTTTTTGTTGCAGTACTCTACAAATTTTTTTAAAAAGTATGTATTAGTCATAGCTGAAGGTTTAAAAAAAAATCCATAAACCAACAACCTGGGACTTACTGTTCAGTTGTATAGTTACCATGGGGGCCCATGGGATACGTGATGTGACACACTTAATCACACCACTGACCATTTAAATTCCATGTTCCACTTTTAGTTCTAAGAATAGCTCCCACTTTTGGAGATAGGGAAAAAAAATTTTTTTGAAACTGGATAAAAAAGCCAGAATAATTTGTCCTAATTTCTTATTGTTCATTTTAGGATAAAAGGAAAAGAAAATCTGTGTTAATCACTGAATAGAACAGTTGTACATAACCGTGTTGCATACATTGTCAATTTGTTCTATATAGTGTCAATTTGCAGCTGGAAACCTGAGCAGTGGTTGACTTATTGTGGTCTGTAATTTTCAATATGTTTTTATTGATATTTTATTTTATTTTATTATATATATATATATATATATATTTTTTTTTAATCCTCATCCGAGGACATTTTTCCATTTTTTGTACAGACAGAGTGGGAGGGAGAGAGAGGAAGAGAGAGAGAGGGAAACATCGATGTGAAAGGGACACATCGAGTGGCTGCCACCCGCACGACCAACCAGGGCCGGGGACAAACTGCAACCGAGGTACATGCCCTTAGCGGGAACCGAACCCGGGTCTCTCCGGACCGCAGGCGACGCTCTAACCGCTGAGCCAAACCGGCCAGGGCTTTATTGATTTTTTAGAGAGAGAGGAAGGGAGAGATAGAAACATGGATGTGAGAGAGAAATATCCATCAGCTGACTCCTGCACACTCCTCTACTGGGGATCCAGCCTGCAAGGGGGAATCCGACCAGGACCTCTCAGTCCATGGGACAACACACCGACCAGGCTGTAATTTAAAATTAAACAATCATGAAATTACACACTCCACTTAATTGATATACAAACTGGGAAAGGTTAGGCTACTCTTATGCATTTCCCATTTATGATGCCATCTTATTCTCTATTGGGATTGGCATGCCTTTTTCATTTCAATTCTAGTTATTTTCTGTGTAAATATTTATATAATATTCATTTGTTGAGAAAAACTCAGCCTTTAAATGAATAGCTCATGTATAAACAATTAATAAAAAGAAAACGTAAATATCTGTTTAGCCCAAGATTCATAAGACTGCAATGTAACAAGTGTGAAATGTGATTGGCAACTTCAGATCACATAATTCTACTTCTTTAACAATCTGAGCATGTAAAATCAAGAGATTTTTTTCTATCAAAATTTATTCATTAGCCCTGGCTGGTTTTGCTCAGTGGTTAGAGCATCGTCTTGCCAGTCCAGGGAGACCCAGATTTGATTCCCCCTAAGGGCACGGACTTCGGTTGCAGTTTGTCCCCGGCCCTGGTTGGGTAGTGCAGGAGGTAGCCATTCGATGTGTCCCTTTCACGTTGCTGTTTCTCTCTCTCTCTCTCCCTCTAACTCTATCTGAACAAAAAACGGACAAATGTCCTTGAGTAAGGATAAAAAAAATTTATTCATTGGATAATCTGATCAAAGGTACATATTTTTTCCTTGTGGACATCTAGCTTTTTTCTCCAAATCAATAGAAGTGGTTCAACATTTCTAAAAGTAAAAAAGAGACTGGAGTTGGGGTAGGGAAGTGACTCTAAATTTGAGTGCTGGTTCTTTCCAGTTGGAAGCCAACCAAACTGTCCTAAATGCTTCAAGATCAATTTTTCTTTGTTTGCTCTAAAACTACTCAATTTCATTTTAACACCCTCAAAAGTGTCAACAGTCAAATCTGTCACACATAATAATTTACAGTTTTGGAAAGATTTAATTAAGTCTGACAGAGAAAAGGATTGCCTCCAAGTGATGACCACACTCTAGTTTTAATTTCCCATTCTTTTTAGTTTGGAGATTCCGAGCTGAGATTAAGACCTTTTGGTTCCGGTGTGGTCATACGCAAAAGAAGGTTGCAACAGGTTCTAAAGGAAAAACCAGGGACCTGTTAGCAAACGTGCCTCCATCAACATGGATTAAGTACTGAACACAAGATTGGTCATCACGTACAACCAGACCTAGCAGAATACTCAGCAAATAACTCATGACCGCAGAACCAAGAGGGTCACACACACACCAGACACATCTTCCAGGCGGCACTTCTTTTTTTGTCCAGGGATTTACACCCCTCCCCCGAGACGCCCGTACAGCAAGGAAGACGAGCGCTAGGCTACCATCTCCCACGGTACCGCTAGGACGACCTCAAACGCAGTAGCGCCGGCCCTGCTGCCCGCTTCTGGCCTAGCCACGGCGGACCCCACTTTCTTGCGGCTTGAGGAGGCCCATTCCCGGAGAAAATCTAAGCCTGAGAGCGGAGGCTGCTCTTCGCAGTTCCTCGGATCCGCGCTGATCCCAGTCACCAGAGTAATGATGGAGCCCCGGCTCCCAACGGGGACATCCACGCACCCTTCCAGCCCCTTCCTCTTGCTTCGGACCCGGTGCAAGCCCCGCCTTCCTCCCCAGGCCCAGATCTCCCTCTAGGGCCCACACCCTCGGGGCTCCCCGCCGCCCCCCGAAAACAATCCAGGACCCAGACAGCAACCTGAGCTTTACTTGGCTGCACGCGCAGTGCCCCTCCCCGGGCCTAGGGAGGAGGTGTGGGGGGGTCACCGACCGGCTCAGGAGGGGCCCAGGTCCCTAGGCCCCCAGACTCACCATCCTCCCGCCGAGTCCCTCCTCCTCCTCCACCTCCTCCTCCTCCTCCTTTTGCCACCCCCGTTACCAGGGGCAACCACTGCGGCACCGCCCCCGACGTCCCTCGCACGCACAGCGGAGGAGCAAAGCAGCAGAACGGGCGGGTTCCAGTTCCGCTTATTCCCAAAGTGCGCAAGCGCTCCAAGGTGCCCGCCCACTGCGCTGGCGGGTGGCTAGAGCGGCTGGAGGCAGCTGCTGGCTGGTAGATTCAGGAATAGTGAAAACTCGCCCACGTGGCCGGCGGGTGGGAGAGGGGGTCGGAGGTTAGTAGTAAAGGAGAGGCGTGGGGGCGGGACTAGAGGAGTTTCCGGGGCGGAGTCCCACGGTACATCCAGGCCTGGTTTATCTTCTTCCCGGGACTAGGTGAGTGGTATTGGGAGGAAGCTACCCGTCGTATCTATCTCCAGGCCTTGTCCTGGGAGGGAGCTTATATTTCTGTTCTGACTCTGCCCAAGCTGGTCTGCAGCGCGGACTGGGCTTCCACCTGCTGAAGCCACAAGGAGTGGCCAGGTTCTGTCCCGGACCTCTCCCTTAGGGCCTCTAGCGCCTTCCTCTGTGTGTCTGAGGGTTGGGGGTGTTATGCGTTGTGCACCTCTCTCTATACACCAGTGTTAAAGTCCAGATGAAGGAGTCCAAGTGGTAGTAATCTGCCTGTCGGAGGTAAGAAGCAGCCGAGGGACTGGCCTTGAGCCATGAAGTAAGCTGACAGCGCGGGTGAAAAGCATTTTGGGATGGCCGGGTTTTGCTAAGTTAAGTTGGGCCGGGAGGTACGACTTCTGCAGTCCCCAAGAAGGCAGAAAATGAGCCTGCTCTTCCAGGCAAGTAAGAGCGGGAGGTGCTATCTCCCACCCCCTCCTGCAGAGGACAGGAAGAAGAATTATCGCAAGGAGCCAGGCCTTATTCTAGACTCTGGAGGCAGCGGCGCACAAAATGTACCCTCTTGGAAATTACATCCTTCCTAGTGAAATGCTTTTCGTACAAGACTTCATTTGATTCTCACAACCCTAGAAATTGGTTATTTTAGTAAGTATAGAGTGGGAAGTTGAACCCGGTTCTGTGTGACTCTTGAGGAAGTGCTTTTAAAACGTTTCTGTAGCCCTGGCCGGTTTGGCTCAGCGGTTAGAGCGTCGGCCTGCGGTCCAGAGAGACCCGGGTTCGGTTCCCGCTAAGGGCACGTACCTCGGTTGCAGTTTGGCCCCGGCCCTGGTCGGTCGTGCGGCAGCCACTCGATGTGTTCCTTTCACGTCGATGTTTCTCTCTTTCTCTGTTCCTCTCTCTCCCTCCCACTCTACCTGAACGAAAAATGGAAAAATGTCCTCGGGTGAGGATTAAAAAAAACCAAAACGTTTCTGTATTGTCCGGGTAGAAAGAACAGAGTGGCCTATATTTGTGATGTAAACCCAGAACTTTATTTATTTTTGTTACCATACATCTTTTAGTAGGTGTTAATTACAATATGAAAGGATTCAGAAATGCTGGGCAAAGGTCATGGTCAGGAATGTGGAGTCCACACTGGGCCCTCGTCAGTGGTACTTGCAAGGTTGCTCATGTTTGTTCCTTATAAGAAGGGCAGTAGTTGAAAAGCACATAAGCTGCCAGCACGGTAGAAACCCCAGCAACTCTCCCTTTCTTTTTTTTTTTTTATCCTCACCCAAGGACATTTTTTCCCCATTTTTTGTTCAGAGAGAGTGGGAGGGAGAGAAAGAGAGATATTGATGTGAAAGGGACTCATCCAGTGGTTGCCACCCACAAGACCCAACTAGGACCGGTCCTGGAACAAACTGCAACCGAGGTACGTGCCCTTAGTGGGAACCGAACCCGGGTCTCTCTGGACCGCAGGCCAACGCTCTAACCGCTGAGCCAAACCGGCCAGGGCTAAACCTAGAACTTTTTAAGAGCTAATATAGTGTGGGTGGGATGGTACACCTGGATTGCACATGCATGTGTGCCTTTTACCAACCTCACTGGGTAAGTAAGGATGATATGAATTATAATGTGAAGATTATATGAATTATTATGTCAAGTTTATAGAACATTGCCTGGCACATAGCTAAGTAGGGCTTAGCTACTACAGTGATGCCCTGCACAACTTAATATCAATCAACAATGATACATGTTCATATATGTTGTTGGTCCCATAAGATTATGATGACACTGAAAAATTTCAACCACCTAGTGAACTTGTAGCTGTCCTAACATAGCCCATTATTCATGTGTTTGTGGTGATGCTGATGTAAACAAACCTACTGTGCTGCCAGTCGTATACAAGTATAGCACATAAAATTATGTGTAGTGCATGATACTTAATAATAAGTGACTATGTTAATGATTTAGATATTTACTGTTTTATACTTTTTGTTATTTTAGGGCATACTCTATACTTGTAAAAAAAGGTTTTGTGTAGCCCTGGCCAGTTTGCTCAGTGGTTAGAACATCGGCCTGTGGTCCAGAGAGACCCAGGTTCGGTTCCCGCTAAGGGCATGTACCTCAGTTTCATTTTGTCCCCGGCCCTGGTTGGTCGTGTGGGTGGCAGCCACTCGATGCATCCCTTTCACATCGATGTTTCTCTCTCTCTTTCTCTTCCTCTCTCTCCCTCCTACTCTATCTGAACAAAAAAATGGAGAAATGTCCTCGGGTGAGGATTAAAAAAAAAAAAAGTTTTGTGTAAAACTATTCTGAGTTACACTGGGAGCAGCCTCATACATATCATGTTTACTGTCTCTTGATTGCATCATTTTCTCTTGTGCTAGATTTAATTTTGTATTGTTTTGTACAGTAACATGCTATATGTGTTTGTAGCCTAGAAGCAAAAGGCTATACCATATAGTCTAGGTGTGTAGTAGGCTACACCATCTAGGTTTGTGTAAGTGAATTCTGTGATGTTCACACAACAGTGACATTGCCTTATGATGCATCTCTCAGAATGTATTTCTGTCTTTAAGTGGTGCATGACTATATTAATAGTTTCATCTAGGATTTTGGGCTTTGCCTTCTTCCTATCAGCAGGTTTTCTTCCCTAGTGAAAATCATTAGAATGAAGGCAGATTTTCCCTGAACAGTCCTTAGCTATTTAAGCATTCTTTTATTTATTTATTTATTTATTTATTTATTTATTTATTTATTTATCTTTATTGATTTTAGAGAGAGAAGAAGGGAGAGAGAAACATCGATGTGAAGGGACACATCGAGTGGCTGCCACCCGCACGACCAACCAGGGCCGGGGACAAACTGCAACCGAGGTACATGCCCTTAGCGGGAACCGAACCTGGGTCTCTCTGTACCGCAGGCCGATGCTCCAACCGCTGAGCCAAACCGGCCAGGGCTAGATCTGTTTGTTTTAAGTGTAGGGCTGTGTGTGCCACAAATGTTCACCATGCTGGCTCAGTCTATGTATTGGTTTCCTGTTCTATAAACTGAGATCTTGGATCCATCCCTAATGTCATTGAACTATGACACTCTCTAACCCTAGAAGGAAAGGGAGTTATCAGTCAGACACTGTTTGACTTCCATCTCCCCCCTTGTTCCTAGTAATAGAACCATATTCATTCATTAGTGGGGCCACTCTGGACATAATAGTGACCTTTTGGGGGAGTACTAGATGTGGCTCTGTGGGAAGAGGGAGGGTAACTGGAAGAAAACTTAGAGACCAGATAGAATGGATGCAGTATAAGTGGGGTAGACAATTTGCATCTTTGTGAAACAAAGCCTGCTCTTCAGTAACCAAGGCAAGTTCTGAGTTTCACTTAAAAGAGGTGACATCCTTGATGCCAGGAGAACCTAAGGATAAGTTGGAATGCATTTCAGGCAGGCAGTAAGTGTCTTTAGAGGGCAGATGGGAGATACAGCATGAACCTTAAAGTCTATCAGGGAAGTTAGATGTCACACAAATAACTGTAAATAAGAAAGTGACAATTCCAAAAGCCCACCATGCTGCTATGGGAGACAGGATGCTATGGGAGTACTGAACAGAAGGGCTGAGTTTGCCCTGAAGGAGTCAATGAGAACTGTGCCCATTGTGGGACTTTGATGTGGGGAAGATGTTCCATACATAGAATTTAGATTTTTTTTTTTTTACATAAGACAAGACCTAGACAGTTACTTTCCTAACCTCAATACTGAACACAAAGTTTCTTGCATAATTTAGCAAATGATTACCCCTTCACGGTAGAAGAACTTCCCTTGTGAAAGGCAGAGAACTTTCCAATGTTGGGTTGAGGGTGGAGAGAGATGTCCAAGAAGTGTGTGTGTGTGCGCACATGCGCGCGCTGAGGGGGAGGCATAGCATTTTGCTCTACTGAGCTGTCTCTGTAAGCCAAGGCAGTGTGTGATTTGCTGTCCAGGCCAAATTCTTTTAGGTTCATTTGGGGTCAGGGAAGATGAACTCTTTCCCCTCTCCCACTCCTGGTTCAGTTGGGACTGAGTAAAATGCCTTTGGTCTTTGAATCAGCCTGTAGGAGGCTAAGTTAGCCTGTCCGAGGGCAGAGCCCAGAGCTTTCCCATGGGCTCCATCAAGTTGTGAATTTGTAATTTTCTACGTGGGGGAAATCCTCAGTTAAGATGATATTTTCAAGAAAAAAGACAAAGTAGTGGAAGATATAAGTTAAATCTTTAAAGTATTCATTAGGGAAAAAAAAAAAGGTAAGTAGCTGTTATTTAGTAGAGAGGGGGAGGAATGGCAGTCTGGACAGGGAATGGTATTTGCAAAGGACTGAAACTGGTGACAGGCAACTATTGCATTAAGAAAGTCCCATGAAACTCAACACATGGAAAATAAAACTCACTATTTCAAAATGTGGAAAATAAAACTCACTATTTTTTTTTCCTGAAAGCCTATGTTTCTATATTCTCTGTGTCAGTACATTATTGCCCAGATCAGAAACCACAGGTATTACTCTAGATATTTGTGATGTGTCAATTTGACTAGGCCAAACAAAACTCTTTGGTATGTTTGCAGTGGGCTATGAGGGAGATGCAGCCATTCCTAGCATCCACACACCTTCTCCCAATTATTCCATGGAATACTAATTTAGGGACTGTGGTGAAAGGATTTTGCAATGGGTTGGTTGGCTTTGAGTTAATCTAAAGGAAGATTATCCTGGGTGGCCTGACTTAATCTAATGGAATCCTTTTAGGCGCCCCCTGGAGTTAGAGACTCCAGCCACAGCTAGACCTGGAGTAACCCTTTGCCCCAGGATCAGCCCTTTCTGTCTGCCTCTTCTGTTGTTCTCAGGCTTACTTTGCCAGCTCCCACAATTACATAAGCCAATTAGCTAAATCTTGGTACTAAATCAATCCATCCGTCTATCTATCTATCTATCTATCTATCTATCTATCTCCTGATTCTCTGGTTGAACCCTGAAATA